CGCCAAGCACCGCCGCTCCGCTCACCGCCGCACCCGCTTCGTGGATCGCTTCCACAGCGGGTGCACGTGCGGCATCGGTTTCCAGTCGCGTGCAGCGGCGACAAGACACGCCCAGACCTGCCCGTCCAGCACCTACGCCACCGAAGCTACAGCACGCGCCCGGCCCACTGTCCATCCAGGGATAACCCGTGCTCCCAACGAAGAAGAGGACCTCGCACCCACCGGCCTTCTTCTCGCGACGACGCCTGCGGTTGCAGCAGCCGCATCAAGCGACACTGCAGCCGCAGTCACTGTCACTCTACAGAGCGCCGTGCCCACCGCTGCCCCCGGGCTCCAGCGCGTCCCCCCCGTACTGGAGCCACTCCAGCCACCCCAAGAGCTCCGAGTCGCAGGCAAGCGCCGCCGCCTCAACCCGCCGGAACACCTGGACTTGGACATGCTGCTGCAGGAAGCAGAGGAGGAGCTCCTCCAAGACATGGAGATGGAATTGCAGGCGCCACCGACCTCGACGCCCACGGACATCGCAGACACCACGGGCAGGTCGACACGCTGGAGCGCTCACCCCAGGGCAGTGGCAGCTGCGGCCATCGCGCAACTAGTGACAGGGGTGACCGCGGCCCCCGCTACGCCAACACGCCCAGATCGACGCCCAGGGCCACGACATCACCTATCCGTCCGAACCCGGTGGGGACCACGCCACCAGGCGGTTGGAGCTGCGGCCATTGCCGCCTTGGCCACAGGCCTGCCGACCGCACCAGCGCCCGTGTCTCGCCGACGGCCCTGGGGAGCAGGAACCTGGCGACACCAGACACGAGGAAGATCCGAGGCGACCACGACCCAGATTGCACGCGGCCCAGAAACGAGATGGGGACCTCCACGCGCGACAGGGGCCTCTGGCCAACTTCCTGTCAGCGCCTCCGGGGCCACTGGCCAACTTCCGGAGCCGATGGAGGTCACCACCACGCCCCGACATGAGGCAAGGAGGTGCGTCGACGGAGAACCAGCACCACAAGAACCGTGGGTGCTCCGCTTCGACGGCGCGTGTCGGCGCAACCCGGGCACGGGTGGAGCAGGCGCTGCACTATTCAAGCCGAGCGGGACCGTCGCGTGGACATGCTCACACTTCATGCCAAGCAGCAGCGAGACGAACAACACCGCTGAATATACGGCACTGCTGCTTGGCGTGATGAGTGCTGTCTCCCACGGTGCCCAGCTCCTGGAGATCGAGGGCGACAGCCACCTTGTCGTGGCACAGGTCAAGGGCTCCTACGCGTGCCGGAACCAGCGCCTCCGCCAGCTCCGCAACCGGGTTCGCCACGCGCTCCGGTCGATACCGGCGCATACCCTCCGGCACATTGACCGGAAGGCCAACGCCCATGCAGACCGGCTGGCTAACCGGGCACTCGACCTCCAGCGCACGGTGACAGAGTGCGGAGAGCACCAGGGGACGATGGATAACTGCTTCCAGCCGGTTCTCCCCGAACAAGAGGGACCACACCCGGTCGCGCGTGCGCCGAGCTCTGTTGCAGCACCTGCCGGCACCAGCGATGAGGACGAGGACATCGTGGCCGAGATTGCAGCACGGGACGGAGGAGAAATATTCCCAACTTTGCCTCTTGGCCCAGACTCTGCTCCAGCGCGGCATCCTCGGCTCCGGCTTCGACAGCTCCACGACAGCGAGCACGACGCCGCGTCCACCGCCTTGCAGGCGTTCGCCGAGACCATGGCGGCCAAGATCGTGGACGCCGACAGCTGGGAGTCCGGTGAGGGCTACATCGGCGCGATCCCTGATGGTGTACGCGAGGTGCTTCGCCCGTACTCAATTACGCCACCCGTCATCTCGACGCTGCGACCACGTCAACACAGCAGACGTCCGCCCCGTGTGACGCGCACCCAGCGCGAGCACCGCCTGGACGAGGCGCTGGATGATCTGGCCGCTGTGCAGCGAGCCACCCCGACGGACCAGCGTGCCGTACGCAAGGCACGTCGCCGCGTCGGCCGGGTGCGCACGTCCATGGCGACGCAAGAGTTGCGTCAGGCCTTCGCCAAGGATGAAGCCAAGTGTGTGGAGCGAATCCTCAAGGGTGCGTCCGCTGAGACGGCGGCGGAAGAACACCCTGACGTGTGCCCCATTGGCCGCGACGAGCTACACCGCCACTTCACCGGCATCAACTCGGCACCAGCGCCATTCCACTACGACGCACCCCAGGGACACGAATTCCGGGCGGCGCTCGACAACCTGCCGACGCCCACGGAGGAGACAGACGCTTTCACGGACGAGCTCACGCTGGATGAGGTGGAGGATCAACTCAGCCACGTCGCCAAAACCTCAAGTCCCGGACATGATGGCGTAGGCTACGACATCTACCGCCGTTTCGCGCCGCAGCTGACCCCCCTCCTCCACGCCGCATACCAGTTCTGTTGGCTGCATCGGCGCGTGCCGGCCCTGTGGAAGGTGGGCATCGTCCGCCTCATTCACAAGAAAGCCGACCCGACGCAGCCAGCGAACTGGCGGCCGATTTGCCTACAGCCCGCGATCTACAAGCTCTACAGCGGGCTGCTGGCACGCCGACTATCACGCTGGCTGGAGCGGAACCAGCGTCTCCCTATGGCACAGAAAGGTTTCCGTGCCTTCAACGGATGCCACGAGCACAACCTCGTGGCAACGACACTGCTGGACCAGACGCGGCGGCTGCACCGCAGGTTGTACCAAGTCTGGTACGACCTGCGGAACGCGTTCGGATCACTGCCGCAGCTACTGATGTGGCGCGTGCTTCGCCACCTCGGCGTCGACACCAGATTCGTCGAGCGCTGCGAGGACATCTACGCTGGATCTGCCTTCGTGGTGGCAAACGCAGCCGATGGACCGACAGATCCGGTACGCCAGGAGGTGGGCGTATATCAAGGTTGCCCCTTGAGCCCCCTCCTCTTTATCGCGGCACTCGTGCCACTTGTGCGGAGGCTGGAGCAGCTTGACGGCGTCGGAGTACCGCTGGCCGAGGGCGTGCGGCCATGCGTCACCGCCTACGCCGACGACATCAAAGTCTTCAGCGACAGCGCCGCCGGCATCCGCAAATGCCACGGCGTTGTCGCGCGCTTCCTGGCGTGGACAGGGCTGCGGGCTAACGCCGCCAAGTGTGCGAGCCTCGCAGTGACCACGAACGCCCGTGGCAATCCGGCTCGCGACGAGAGCGTGCAGCTCGAGCTACACGGCGACGCCATCACCCCCCTCAGTCTCCAAGGAAGTTATCGCTACCTGGGGGTGGGCGATGGCTTCGACCACGTGCGCCATCGCCTCCAACTTGAACCCAAGCTCCAACAGATCAAGCGGGAGGCGGTGGCGCTGATGCAGTCGGGACTGGCGCCGTGGCAAGTGGTCAAGGCACTCAAGACGTACGTCTACCCCAAGGTAGAGTATGCGCTCCGACACCTCCGCCCGCTCCAGTCCCAACTGCAAGGCTTCGACAGAGCAGTGTCACGCGGCCTGCGCCACCTACTACGCCTGCTCCAGTCTGCCACCAGCGAAATTTTCTACACGCCGACGTCGGCGGGCGGACTGGGGCTGCAGCCTCTCGTAGAGATGCACCAGGCGTTGCAGGTGGCACACGCCTGGCAGATGCTGCACT